GTTATTATTTTTTGAAATATATGCTTCTTTTTTTTTGTCTGTTAATCATTCCATTAAAATAAATATCGATCACTACCTATCCATTGTGGTGGTGTTTCAGTTACAAAAAAAAATTCAATTAACATCAAACGAGTTGATTGGACCAAAAATAATAATAATATACTATCTTAAAGAGAGTATTTTAACACATTGTTGAAATTCCTAGATTGGCTAAGAAAACCGTGGTCTCAAACCCTTTGATACCAGTTCGATTGATAGTTTTGCTCATGATACTATTTATGCAATTTGGCAAGAGAGAAACAACAAAATCTAAACAAATCATTTTTTCCTTGGAATCCACTAAATTACAAAATATGTTAAGAGGTGAAAAAACGTGCGTAGATTGAGAGAGAATATTCCCTCTAGATGAATGACAAAGACCTAAAGAAACGATACAAACTTCAATTATTGTTTGGTTACAAATTTATTTCAATTGTTAGCAATTTTGTTACATAAATTTACATATACAACAAAAGATAAGCTATTCACACACCACAAAAAAAGTCCCAAACTCTAACGCAATGAAGATGCTTACTCTATCTTTCATTTCTCTCACCATTCTCTCAACCATTTGCCGATGTTTTACCAAGCCAAGTAGTCATAGACCTAGCAAGACATCCGGTTCAGTCCAATGTCCCGGTCTTGGTGTTCGACGTTTGGTTCTTAGTAATGATCGATCTTTCGCTATTAAGTTTCCAAAGGCATTCAAACGCCAATTGTTATGTTCCCTTTTTTCTTTCTTTCTAAAGTGTAAAATTGGATTATGCTTGAGATATAACCAAATTTGTAATGTAGTCAACGGTTTATATGAAATAAAACATATGGTTATTGTCTGATTATAATCTTATGAAGAGCTTCAAGTATGCATAACTTGTAGAACATTTTGGGTTAATGTAATCTTTTATAAAAACCTTGGGGTAAATAAGAGAAAACGTAAAACTATTTATAACCCCAAAACTATACTATATTACAAATTGGTGCCCCTCGTCGTGAAGAAGTAGAATTCAGAGCAACGACGTAGCGGAGAAGAGAGTCAGTTTCGGCGGCGCGTGTGGATCACGGTAAATGGGCGAGGAGGAAGCGAGTAACGGAGAAGATACGGTGGAGGAGATACGACGGATGAGTGGTTACGGCGGAGATGTGATAGTCGTCAGTGGATTTCCGGCTTG